TGCGATGCTGTAGGGAAAAGGTAGCGGTAGCAACGATCAACGGCTTCATGAACCTTTTTTCATCGATGTGCTTCAATTGATCTTGTTCATCATTTTAAAATTGAATTGTAGTTTTCTTTGTTGGTGTTGCCTACTGAATGCCGAAAATCAGTTTGCGCCAGTCACATAATTGTTATCCACTAAATGTTATTCATATCCGAGCCAAAGAAAGAAATTGACAGAGTGTTGGTGTGCAAAAAGTAGCTGCATCATTGAAATATATTGTCGAATGTCCGATATGGTTCGTTCTCTCATGTCGTCTTCACGCATTCGTCTTCATCTTCATTCATGCAGGTAACAAGAATCCTTCTGCGCTACCCATGATGCACGACGATCGATCGATCGATCGATCCGTCCATCGATTGATCAACCGTCGACGGTTGTTTCCCTCTTCTTCTCTCTATCTCCTTTGGCATTTTCTCATCTTCGATATCACAATATATAATAAGGTCAGGTGCATTTTGAATACCGTTTTCGTTTGGTGGGTACTTTTATCCTCTCGAATTTTCAACGCAATTTCCAACTACATACCGAAACAAAGGAGGCTATTTTTTTGATGTCGAATGCGCCTCAAAAAGAGCATAAAATAACAAAAATAAAAAGAACGAAACACCTTTATTTCGATATTAAAATACAATTAACTTATATGGCCCAGAATTTTATTTTACAATTTTAGGATCGTTTCGATTGATGATTTGTTCGTCGTCTGCAAAGGATAATCACAAATAAATTCTCTCAGTTTTCTACCCTCATGATGATTTCGTCTATAATCACTGTGAGATACACGTCTCACAGCGGATGTTGAACAATTTTAATAGCGGGATTCGTAAAATGTTAGACTTATAATCGGTCTTCGGATTAGATGTAATATTTTGAAAGCATGTCCCTTTTCCATCATTCACATCGATATTATGTGCCTTATGATGATGACGACGATCTATGGCCAGACTCACAAAAATCGAAACACTATCAATTTTAGAACAAACAATCCCATAAAACTGCATACGCACACCGTTTCAATCCGATTTGGTTCTCATAATAACATATGCACCGAAATGCTGACATATCGTGACGTTGGGACGTCAATCAAAAACAGTAAATCAGAAAATGGATCGACGTATCTCAAACGAATTCCAACGAAGAGAGAAAAAAAACGATCAGAATATCGAAAAGGTTCTTGGTAATCAAACCACCAACTTGTTCCCTGCGTCTCCACTTTGATACACGTTTGCTTGCATTATTGTCTATGGAGAGCATGCAATCCGAAAAGGTATTGATTTATAGCATATATATATATAGATTTCGTTTTGTCTCTCCCGTTTTTCGTCTTCATTCAGTTCCGTCGCCCGCTTTTATTTTTAATCATTAAAACATTCTGAAGCTTAAAAAAAGCAGCGACAATTTGGCAGGTGCATTTTATTTCTTCGTCCGCGAATGGTTGCAAGAATTTCAAAGCAATATGGCACACACATCGATGTGTGTTTTTTCCTTCTCTCGTTGTTTCCGGATTAATTAGACAATTTCTTTTTTAGGTGTAGAAACACCGAAAGAAAAAAGGCAATTTTTACCTGGTGCATGTGTGGTGCGCCTTAATTGCAGTCATTAGGTTGGTCCGATGGAAGATAAACCAAAACCGGAATTCACTATGCTATATCTTTTGGTGTTCTTCGGCTGCTCGTTACACACACAGCATCGCCAAAATTTTCAACGCTCGGTTTATTGATTACATTTTTTTTTCGTTTCGTTAGTTGGTTGGTTGATTGTGTTCGGGGCCGTTTTTGTTATGTAATTTTTCACGGAACTTTATCCGCATCATTTTCGATTACGTTTCATCCTAATAGCCTATCGCCAGAACCACAAAGATCGCTGTTGCGCCGTTTGAGATAAAACCGGTCAAGAGAAGCGATTTGACACAATTTTTCAAAGCTGTTAGTAAACAACACCGCAATCCCTAATGGAATGCTGTTCACTGTGGATTGGGCGCAAATGAAAAAAAAGCAATATGGGAGCTCCGCGTACATAGGTTTCCGTGATGCAGTCTTGGAATAGACAGACGAATAAGATGCTGCACAAACTCTTCATGACGCCACATTATTCCGCACTCGGCAGCAATTATTCTTCGATTCGATTCATAAATTCTTTTTCACTGTTTTTAATACGAAATGGCTTTGCCATCGATCGAATGTGCGCGCACTTGAAAATTTATTGCAATTTCATTTAATAACATCGAGACTCGACCGCGCACCATTCACTCATTCGCTCATCTTTCTTTCTTTCTTCCTTTCTCTCTGTCTCTTTTCTTCGCGCAGATATAATTTATTCTTACGATTCATTGATAAGTTGATATCCAATGCTGATGGTGTGTATGTGCAATGTGCATCGCGCGATTGTAAATCGAAGCAAATAAACACGGCCGCAAGAGGAAACGATCCATCGTGTTGCCAAAGAAAGAAAAAAAAATATCCATCGCGCGCGTATACATAACTGGTTTCTTTTTCTTTCATCGTTTCTTTTTCGCGTGCGTCGCTGCTGCTGTTTTTCTTCGCGTCGTTCTATTTTATGTCAGAGCTCATAATTTCTTAGCCTGTAATTCACTGCGAGTTGGAGCCTAGAATTCTTGTCGAATTCGAATGGAATAATGGAAATGAATTATTGCTGTCACAAACCGAATAAAAATCCACTCCACGCAACACATTCTAAAGGCTCCCTTCTTACACACAACTCCAACGAATACGAACAAAAAGTTACATACACAATAAAAAATAAGAAATACTTCATTTGAACATGGAACACAGCAGCAGATTGAGTGTTCTTATTGGGCATCGGATTAACTAAGCGAGTTAGAGAGAATGAGTCCATTCTTGCGTCTAAAGAGTTAATGACTTCATAAGCGCCCAAAATTTCAAATCGACAAGATAAATTACAATAGACAGAAATAATAGCATCTAACATATTTCTTTATTTTTTTGTGTATGTCGTTTTCTCGCAGTGAAATTGCCAATGGAATCGCTTCTGTAGTTTGATGTATGTGTTCGCTCGCGCTTTCGTACATTTATCAACCTCTGACTTAATCTCCCGCTTCCTCTCTTGGTGAACGCACTTACAAATCACAAAACACGAAAATCGATTGTCATTATGTTCGGCGTCATTTTTTTTCCCCTTATTACCATCAAATTAAGCTATTTCGAATACAAAATGTCGGTTCGTTCAATTGGGGCTTCTGAAATGAGGCGATCGATATGATTAGCTTCAAGTTAGAATAACAATTTTCGATTCAAATGAATTTGAACGATTGGCTAAGAGCAGCGAGCGAAAGAGAGGCAAGTAAAAGAGAAATGGTAGTTGCAACAATAACGTACAATTATTGTGATTATGGCTTGTGAATGGGAAAATGGAAAATTGGTTACACGCTTCCAGCTAAACCGCTTTCCGGTTTTCGTCGTTTTGTCGTTTTTTTAATTTCAAATTCACTTCGCGTCTCGATCAAAAGTGGCTACACAATACGGTTTATGACAAATCACTTCATCATTTCTCTTTGAGAATCAATGCGAATCTAGAGGAATAATAACGGATCTGGTCAATGTTATACATGAAAGAAAATATGTTCTAATGAAAAGTTCTGAGTTCGGTTGATTCAAGATGGAAGAATCGATCATCATTTGAATGCTTGAACAATTTGAATGGTACAGATAAATTACATTTCTTTTGTAACAAAATCTGAAGTTTACGGTAAAAAAAGCTGGTATATGCGATTAAAATGGTGATAATTGCTAAACTAGTGATAATTGTACGAATCACTTTGCATAATACGTCCTGCAAATGTGGTGTAAAGTTCACCAAACCATAAAGAACACACATCGAGCAGTGTTCTTGGGCTGTTATGTTGCGTGCAAGATCACGAATGCATGAAAGTGCTTCATAAATTACGTGCCGGCGCTTGAGATTGTTTCAATGTTAACAACGTGCGATACCTATTATTCCGTTGAGAGAGGTGTTTTAAAGAATTTGTTCAAATGACCGTTAAATGAACCCCATTTGCGTACAGCAAAAGAGCATAAGTGCGTACACACGGACACGGTTTTTCTTCACAATATCAAAACAGTAAATTACACGCAACAGTAACTCCCCCCATTGTAATCGTATGCGGTAAAGCAGACAAAAGGACAAACCACGTAGCTAACATGCCGTTTATCTTTTTCACGCTTTCCGGTGAAATATGAACGGCACTCAAGTTTGAAATAAAGCAACCGAAGAAATTCAAAGCCAATGCTAATGAATGAAATGACAAAACAAACAAATTCGATGCGGAATCTAAAATGCCGAGCACACATGACAAGTGCTCTTCAGCGGTCGCTTCATTTTGATTGATTCAATTTTATTGTCGAAGGCACAATGAAGAAAACACCGAATCAACTGAAATTGATTTGGTTTTTTTTTCTTTGTGCTCATCGCGTTTGAACAGGTCCGGTCCATTGAGCGTAAGAAAAACAAAACAAAAACTAGCATTCAATTAAGCAACCTTTGAAGGCATTCGTTTTTCTTCGCCTTTTTTTCTCTTTCTCTCCATGCCACAATGAGTGGCAATGTTCCAGCTATTTAAGTGGTAAACCGAGCAGAACATCAACCGATTCTAGAGTAAATTACATTGATTGTGATGAATTTGTGGTTTACCTTTTTTGTTTGATTTGCTTGAAATGTGCACGCTTCGGTCGTCATTATCTCTCTCTTGCGACTGACCAATCGGACGTTCAATCGAACCGATATCGTCGTCATTCGAATTAAGGTTTCTCGCCGTGAAGAATTGAAAGAAAAAGAACTTCAATTATTTCGTTTTTTCTCCTCATTATTATTGAGTGTGTGTCTCTGTGTGTGTTTATTTCAGGATCTTTTGTGAAACCGAATGGATAACTTATCATTACTTGTCTGATTTCTTTTTTGTTTTGTTTTTTCCTTTTCAACAGATTCGCCACAGATTTGGTTTGTACGATGAGATTTCTATTTCGAATGGCTTTCGTGTACGTCACTGCAATTGGATCCGATTTTTGAGGGTGTCTAAAACATATGGACCACAGGTACATTTTTGTCCCAGCATTTCTTTTTTCGTCTCAGTTTTCTTTGGTTGCATTTGCTTTTGAGCTCGATTGATTTGACAGTGAAACAAAGAGGAAAAAAATCCGAAAAATTTTAATGACACAAAATATTCAATTGATTTTGACTGTTTCAATTGAATCAATTGAGTGGAAAAATCAAAACGCTCCAATAGATTCTAATCAAAAATATGTCATATCAAATTAAAATTGTTTCGAAAAAATAAACCAGTTTGCTTTCGATCACAGTCAATCAACATTTGATATTCTATTCAATATTCGATACTTTTTTTCCTATTGGTATAACACATTCTTAACATATTTTTGTTTTCTCCATTTATTTCGTTTGAAACAGGTCAATGTAGTTTGTGCAAAAGTAAACGGAGAACCAGTGTATGAAATACACAGACCGATTGCTGCACATCAAGAATTAGTCGTATATTATTTGGCCGAACGGCCAGAAGAATTGCTTTTTGTTCACATGAGAAGCACACTCTACCGACGAACAATGGATTCAATTTTGGAAGGTAAGCCAATTAAAAGTGACATCATTCAAATCCAATAAAAAAGCCAACAAAAATATAATATATAACTATGAAAACAAAAAATGTGCGATAAAACCATAATGCTTCGTCCGCTTGTAATTGCCCACGTAATTGAAAAAAAGGTGATGGTAATTAAGTTCCGGTGTAATCGAATTTAAAACAACACTGATGCTAAAGTGTCCAAAAAATGCGTTAACATTTGATGATGCTAATTCAAGGATAGCGTCAGTGACAATTTCTGTACACAATGTCACGTAATGTGATCAACTAAATTTAAAATTAACATTGCCGTCAAACAAAAAATTACCTCATAATTGAGACTTGTCGTATCTATTTCTGTTGTTGCAATTGTTAAAACGATCGAACGAGATCGTTTTTTTCCGTGCTTTTCGGAATAGGAAACAAAAACGATCGTGAGCCTCCGAAATGTAAGTGGCGCGTTGAGGTTATTATTTTTTGGGTTTTATCCACTTAAAGCCTAACGTATCACGTTTTTCATCGTCTCGTTTTCTATCCACTCGAAATGAATTTGGGTGATTTGTTTCGATTTCTTGTCCATTCAAATGAGTCATTCATGTCATATACATGTGTGTGTGTTGTACTAACCAGTAATGATTCGTGGACCTTATGATTACCCGCAGAAAAAAAATTGTCGGCCGTATTGCGTGAGATTTGAGATTTCACAAGCATATCGCAAATGGTATTGTTGATTGTCGTCTTTATTTCATTACGAAAAAATTCTCTTTCTAAAATTTCATTTGTGTGCTCGGGCACCTTGAATCCCATACGACGATCACATTCATTGTCGACGAAATGCCTTGCGTGATCACTTATGAAAAATGCCAAAGCACAAAAAATAACACACACACTCACATACAAAGATAGAGAGAGACCAAATCTCTCACAGAAAGAACCCATTCGGTCGATGGACAACGACAAATTGCTCACAAATATATTATTTTACGATTGCCTTTTCACGAAACCGAAAAATTCGCCCAATAGCAAATTCTTTGTTTCGAATGTTCCATACGATACGGCCAACGAAATAAAACCGAACGATACGAGCTACAGTTTATTTATTTTGTTCCAGCACAATCGTGCGGCGAGAATTGAAATGATTTTCGAACGAAATCCAAATGAACGGGCGGAGAACGAAAAGTAAAAAAAAACACGCAGTAAAATGTGAAGAGAAACGTATTTCTTGTCACAGTATGAAACGCATTCCACACATCGCCTCAGCTATTGCTTTTAATCGGCATAACTAAGTAGCTCAGGGAAATAATTGAGAGAACTGCTGCTGCTGCTGCTGCTACTTTCGTCATTTTTGTTTCCTTTTTGCTCGTTGCGGTTGTTGTTGTTGCTTCTTCGCTTAGAACTTCCAAACACTGCAGCACATGCAGCTCTCTGTCTGAACCAATTCATTAGTTTGTTTGCTTGTTGTTGTTTTTTTTTTCAATTCAAATTTTTCCCTCGACTTTCAATCGCTTGATGCTACTGAAGCTCCATATTGTCGGTGCGAATGGCTCGGCTCGGCTTTGGTAAACATTTAACAAATTACATCATGATTTGAAAACAGCCAAGCACGAACGGGGCACCCGACGCAAAATGAGCGAGAATGCGTTGGGCCCTCGCCACACTTACAATCTTACCAGTCGATGACTGAATAAGAACGAAACCGAACAAATATTGAGGAAAAGTGATGAAGATCATGCTGATGATGCGATTGCCGTGCGACTGCTACACAAATCTATTGCGATTACAAGACATAAAATAAATAAATTGTGTGGATATGCTTACCATTGCGCACACGCCCGTGCTACACACAAGCGGGCTGGAGCGCGCGCGCGCGGTAAATCCATCGAATCACAAAGGAGAAGAATCAAGTGGCGAGAGAATACACGAAAATGAACAACAAGCAACAAAATTATCGACATACACACAACACCGCCGCACATTAAACACACAAGTAATCGGGATATTCATAAAGAATACACGAATGACACAGCACAAAAATGCGCTTAAATCGGCCAACACCGCACAATACCAAAGCGAATTGGAAGCTCTCGTCACTCTTTCTACTTCCCTGTCTTTCTCTCTCTCTCTCTCTCGCCTTGACTGGACAGTGTGTGCGCTGTGCGGCGCTGGTTATTGTTCATTTCATTAGTTTTGCGTGTAAAATGTAACGCAACAAAGCGATAGAACAAGCCAGAACAACATGAAGCTGAGCGAAACAGCAGCTTGGTGAATTAAAAATTAATTGTTCACCTTTTCTCCTTTATATTATATGAAATTATGTGGTCACATAGTCCAGCCGAAGCATGGCTCCGTTGAAAGATAACCAGAATCAACAACAACAGCTTTTTGAGATGCTTGAAACGTTTAAGCGTAGTACAACGAACGGTTTAGTGATAGTTGTGTGTAAGATGAAAAATGCCGTCAACGCTCCAAATATTCAGATTTGATGGAATCGAACGATACTGTTTCTCAAGTTGTGTTGTGTTGTTTATTTTTTCAATGGTCTCCACTCGTACTCGGTTCGATCTTATCGAGCGTTTGTTCTCTTCAATTTTTATGCATTTCAATTGAAAATGGGTTTTGTTTCCACAAACGCACAGAGTCACCGCTCGATTTATCGATGTCATTATTATCGCGTGTGATGCTGCCCATCAGTCCGCCGTCGGGTGGTGAAGACGAGCACAAATCCGTGTCAGGCGAATCACTAACATCATCTTCATCAGCGGCCAGCAGTGCTGGTGATTTAATGGATACATCGATCACAATGCCGCGCACATCACCGAAAGCCCGACCGACACGAGGCGAACGAGCTCTTCTACCATGCGAAGTGTGCGGCAAAGCATTCGATCGTCCTAGCTTGTTGAAGCGACACATGCGAACACACACCGGTAATTTTTTACATATTATTTTTGATTCATCCATTCCAGATTTATGATTACTACACACCTCATCCATCTATCATTGGTCCAATGCATTTTAACAATCTCCCATCAAAATATTGCGCTACCAGAATAGATAGAAGAGATTTTTAAAGAGTCATTGCCAAGTAAAATAAATCATGTGTATTCAATGATTTCTTTGTCGTTTGCTTACGCATTCACTAACGAAAAAGAAACCACTTTGTGTGCACCAAATTGAATCATTTTTTTGATTGAGCATGAACTTGATATTCCGTATCGGTTTTGGTTTTTGATTTATTAGGTGAAAAGCCTCACGTTTGTGCAGTGTGTGGTAAAGGATTTAGCACGTCGAGCTCGTTGAACACACATCGACGCATACATAGCGGAGAGAAGCCACACCAGTGTCAAGTGTGTGGCAAACGATTCACAGCCAGTTCGAATTTATACTACCATCGCATGACTCACATTAAGGTAAGTCCAACTCAAAGGATCTTATCCACTTACTGTTAGTTAAGTCTCAGTCTCATATGTGATTTGCATTAATACAACAACAGCAACATCAACTCTCAAATGAAAACTGAACCGATCGCCTCGACCGAGAATAATCATATCAATTTTTTTTAAAAGAACAATGAAAATCTACCCATATAAATCGCTTGCAGCATTTTTTAATTTGCTTCGTCCCAACAAGTATTCAGCATTTTTATGATACAGTTGTGAAATTGCAGAATCGTCTGTGGTCAGGCCATATGTTATTTACCCAACGTCAACGATATGATATGTCTACATTTGTTCGAAAAGGGGAAAAAGTTCGAGAAACGAAAATGAAAACGAAATGTTTGGTTGAATAAAATGGTTGGCTCTTTGATTGTTGGTCAAACGTTTATATTTTTTTTTGTTTCTTCTTCGTGGAACTCGGAAAGTCACAGACACAAACACACACACATTCACATAACATTGACGAGAACTTAACATTTTAACGAACAATGTGACCATTATTCCATTTCGCCTATAATTTTAATAATTCTTTCTAAATTGTCGGAAGACATAACAACGATATACGAAAAAAGAGTAGTCAAGCAAACCGTCAAGACTAAGTGAAGAAGGAGTAAAAAACGAAGGAAAAAAAACAGCGAAGCGTCTAAAGTTAAAAAGACAAAACAAACAACCTTAAGAATTGTGGGAATCTACGCTTCGTTGCATTTCTTAACGAAAAAATTCTTTATTAACGACTTTATTTATGATGATAGAAATGAAAAGCGAAGAAAGAACCGACATTCATCACCAATGAGAGCCAATGTGAAGTCGTGAAATCATATGACCAGAACGATGAGGGCGTTGTCGTATTTATGCAAATCAAATGAGAAAATTTTCATTCGTGTGATTCTTTTTCATTGGGTTTTCTCTCTCTCTCTCTCTCTCTCTCTCTCTCTCTCTCTCTCTCTCTCTCTCTCTCTCTCTCTCTCTCTCTCTCTCTCTCTCTCGCTTGGTATGAGAAATTGTGACCAATGAGAGATATTCGAATCAAAGTCATGCCAACATACAACGAAATATGTTGTAACGTACATATAGTCGCCACCGTTGAGATTTCATCACAATTTTCTCGACATAAATCTCCGGGAATGTCTTCCGCGGAACAATAAACCTAGTCAAAAATATGGGCACTAACGTTGCTATTTCGTTTGTTCTCATTATAGGAAAAACCACATAAATGCAGCCTTTGTTCGAAATCCTTCCCAACACCCGGCGATTTAAAATCGCACATGTATGTGCACAGTGGTTCATGGCCATTCAAGTGTCACATCTGTTCCAGAGGCTTTTCCAAACACACAAATCTAAAAAATCATCTATTTTTACACACCGGTAAGTATCTCTCTGTGTTTCTCTCTCGCCACCGCAACCTGATTGCCAACATTTTAAACCAAATATTTACCATTTCCACAATCCAGTTTAAGATTTGGACAAGAAAAATTTATTAGAACAAATCTATAAATCACACCTTTTCATTTGTCTGTTTTGTTTTTTCGTTCTCGTTCTGGTTCATTTCTCGTAGGTGATAAACCGCATTCCTGTGAATTGTGCCTCAAAAAATTTGCACTTGCATGCAATTTGCGAGCACATATGAAAACACACGAAGGTAAGTGGCTTGTTCGTTTGCTTTAAATCAACTAGTTTTATTTTGCTTATGCATAAGGCACGATAATGCGACGGCATGCAAAGTGTAAGAAACCTCATTTTCTGCATTTTATGTCGGTTTTGTTGCCAGCTTCGACCATTCGTGGAATAAATAACTCCATTTTTTTCTCAATTTGCCTGTCCGCCCCAGATGTAAAGTGAAATTCGACTGTGGCAGCAAATCATTTTAATTGAAATGTCCAAGCGATTTTCACTGGGGATTTATCTGGTGCATAAGTACGATGTGTGCGATATTTGAGTTAGCTTATGCTTTCTTTCCGTGCACATTTTTGCTGCGGCGCAGATTGAGTCTCTTCATAGGCTATCGATTTCTTCGTTGCATGTTTCTCTTTCATGAGTGCCTATCTCTTCGGCCAATTCGTGTATATGTGTGATTTTAACGACAGAATTTTATTTTTTTCTTCTCTTCCATTTTTCGCAGGTGAACCACAAGAAGAATGCGTTCGCTGTGGTAAAATGTATATTTTATCTGGCGATTTAAATAAAGGTGCATGCGGTAAATGCCTAGGAGTTCCAACCAGAGATCAATTGAAATCGACACCGTTTCGATCGTCAGGCGAATCATCGGGCACAGAAGAAGAAGACGAAGAAGAAGAAGAATTGTCGAACGATATTCCGTGATTAATGAAAATGAAGACAGAAAAATCAACCGAGACACACACAGACACACCAAACATAACATAGCTCAACACAGCACATCGTGATCGGTCGGTGATTTGACTTATGACCATTCGTCGTATCATCGTTTGAGTTTTTGAGTTTTCCATTGCATTTCATACGCACACACGCCCGTCATGCATCATCCCATATTATTTTCATCTCGGTTCTTTCTTTTTTTGAGACGAGCGCACACACAAACACAACAACTACAACACAAAATATTTATCATTTATTTGCATATCATATTTTCTCTCTCTCTCTCTCTCTCTCTTTATCTCCTCAAACATATACTCGTATCCATTTCAATACCAAATGAATTCGATCATAATTTTTATTTGCTAACGCACGATATCACTCGTAAGTAATAATATGGCACTAAAGAATCAAATCATATCATAGTTTGTAAGGGGTTTCCATGTTTCATCTCCCATTCGATCAATCCATTTTGAAAGTGGACATCGACAAATTGCGAATCTTGTACATACATATCCAATCTTTTGATCCAACGAAAAGCATCATACGATGAATAAATTTATTGCTATCAAAGACATTTTCGCTTTTCTTATACGCATAACCCTGCTGTCCTTTTATGGTTAGTTTAACGTTTTCTAATATCAAAGACTGTATAATCATTTGAATTGGTTTGCTTTCACTCGCTCGAATGAATCAATCACTTAAACACTAAAACATTCCTTATTAAATCCGTCCAAAAATGACATTCATTCCGGAGGTCCATGGTCTTTTTGAGAGTTTCATTTAACCCTTATCAAGTCTCATTTACTCACACATCCATGTTTGTCACCCTTTTATTTTCTAATTAGTGGTTAAGTTTATTTATATATTTCATAAACCGTCCAAAAGAATATTTCCCCTTGATATTTACGTCACATTCAGTTTATAGTCACCCAAATAATTAAGAAACTGAAACAATCTCCGTTCGTCTATTCTCACCTTTTTGAATAACGCGTCGAAAATTGACTATTTTCATAATAATGCTGAACAGAAGGAATTGAACTGCCGAGAGCTCAAGGTGCGATTTCAGTGTTAATATGAAAATAATCAGTTGTTTGGCATTTTTTACCATTTTGGTATCCATGAGAATTATTGAAGCTATTTTTTTGTTTGTTTAATGCTGTAAATATATGAAGGATTATTTGTGTACCTAAAATATCGTAATGATGTAAGCAGATACAATTTATTTTAAGAATCAGACTTGATGAATATCTTTACACTTAACTAAGCACAATACAAGAAACAAAAGAAAACCGAACGCTGTACATTATTTTATCAATCCGCAAGTATTAAAAATTCGAGCATAATTTTATCGGAAAAAAATTGTGTGTTTTATTTATTGTTGTTATCGTATTACAATAGTGGTGAAGAGAGCTGGGTTCGTCGACTGGAACAGATGTGACCGTTGGAAAGCTGTAAGTTGATCGGTGTGTAAGTATTCATGCATAACGTGTGCGAATTGCTCGTTTTTTTTTCTTCTCCCCATTCTGAGCCGTTTGTTGTTCACTTGATATTGATATCCTTAAGCATATTAAAGAAAAATTGCATCTAGTTGATTTGGTCGAGCGAAAGATCGAGGGGGAAAAGTCTTGTTTTTGCAGACATTTGAGATAATCGGTTTCGGTATCGCGCGGGATATGCGTGTAATGTTCATTTGCCATAATTTATAAAGGTTTTATCACTTATTAGAACTTATCGACTGGCACAAACTTGTCTATAAAATTTATATTTCTCTTCGTCCATTTGCCAGGCTATGTGAATTCTCTCATTTCTTTGCCTTTCTTACGGCAAGCGTCCGTTAAATGGAACGCATAAACAAATGCCAAATCATGAGATTCACGCTTGAAATGAGCACAGCCACCACCACATATATGCAATGCATATTATGCATTTCGCTGCATTAAGCAAACTGTACGAGCATATTGCAAATTGCAAATCGGATGTTGTCTCTTATATCCATAAAGCGAATTTGCGGCAACATTTATTCGTTACTCGCACAATCGTCTTCTCTCGAGATCTGTCAGATCAACGCAAATGCAAAGCGCGCGCACACACACGCATACACACTCAGTCTTCTGTGCACATCCATTTATGCGAACTGCAACTGATTCAGTTATGAATGATGGTCAGTGCTTGGCTTCGAATAGCGATGCAGAGGAAAATGAGATGTAAAAATTGATATTGTCACATTTATTTCAAATATCCGTTTCATTTAATAATCGAAGTAAGTATCGTTCAGTTGTCGGAGATTGAAATGTTGATGGTGTGCTCACTGATCGTGAGCAAGCGAACGAGCGAGAAGGAGAGACATAGTGCGTGAAAACGTTCGAAATTATAAATAAGAAGCGAATCATGGTCTGGAATGAATTCCACGTTGGCAATTCGTATGTTCCACCCGGCGGAAAAGAAAGAAATATCCGTCATTTGCAGAGCAAAAAAGAGAACTACAAAATTTTCAAATCAAAACGAAATGGAAAGAAATGATAATAAGTGGGCATAAGAAATCAGAAAGGTCTAAAGAGAACGACTTTTTTTCGTTCGGCCATTTGGTCGCTACTCGCGAGTCAGGTCAACCAAACAAGATTCAGTTTTTTTTTTCTCGAGCGTTTGAACAGCATGGTTTTTCCGATGAACGCATATCGTGAGACCTCACACTCTCCGTCTGCAGCGTCTTTGCACTGTTTGTTTTATGGTGACCGTGAATGATGACTGAAATAAATTATTATAAATTGATCATTTTTGGATGTTTTTTCTTGTTGTTTTTGGCTACGAACCATGATTGATCTCTCAATGTAGAGCTGACTGGAATTCTGCGTATTTAAATCAAGTAGCCGATCTAGTAATTAAAGATCTGATTCTCAACGCTTACATATTTGTTGTATCTGCTGGTTTCTCACCGTCTCTCGATGTTTGTTTATGAGATCAGAATTGTCTATGCAAATTAGGATCTAGTTTGTTTTCATTTGATTTATCGCTCTTTCAATCCACAGTGAGAACGGTTTATTTTCGATGAGATGACTATTTTAAGTCGACCGAATCGAAATCACATCATCGATCAATTTCAAAGCGAACCATTCGAGCGAACGCGTTAATCTCGCAGCAATGGTATCGTTTCCAGCATACGATAAGTATCAATGGATTTGATCGCAGGTATTTTTTGGTAATTTGAACCGTTGTAGAGCTTCGCACTGGTATGCATCGATTGTGAAAATCCCATCGAGATTTACTGGCAGAAATAGCATTTTGAAGCACTACTCGAATTGTTTTCCATATTTTTTCCTCTGCGTTTTTTTGTTGTTGTTCATCTTTTAAAAAGTGCAAGTTCCATTGTTTGCTAAAGAGTATGGTAATCAAACGCGCAAAAGTTCATTGCCAAACGTGTAAGTTACATGTTCATATTAGAAGTAATCATGATACGCGTACATTCATATGCGAATTCCCAATGTGCAAGAAAAAATTTCACTTTTCTTGCAATTTTTATTGTTTTTGCGCGTTTCTTATCCATTCTTCGTCTTCATCGTCATCGTTGTCGTGTTTTTGACATTAATTACAAGCTCTTGAAGTCGAACAATAGAATTCATTTGTGCATCTGTTTGCATGCGCATAGCAAAAGGGACGATGAAAAATATAGCAAGTGCATTCAATTTTTTCATGGCAATGATAGCTGTGCATAACAGCAATAAATATGAATAAATATTAATTAGATCGTAGTCACTGTGAGTGACGGTGTTAAGGTAGTTTCATTGCGCATTTGTAGGTAACAATAAGCCAATAAGCGTCTTTTGTTCCCTCCTTTGATTGCATGCATCTGCATGAAAAATATAGAACGTCGGGTTCGTGGCGCAGGGGTTCGATTTTTATATTTAAAAAAACTGACCTTTTCATTTCGGATTTAAAGAAAGTAGAAGGAAAAAAACTGTAACACCGACCTAGATTAGAGACATTGAGCAGTGAAGCAGGTAAATGAGAAGAACGCAAGGTGGAAAAACCTAATGGCATTTAGAGTGGATGATTACGGTGTATCCTTTTTTTCATACATTGAAATTATTGTATGGTAAAAGAAAATGTTGCGTTGCAAGTGGTGATTTGCAGCTGTAACAGCTGATGATGCATCGCTTTTCATCTCTCTCTCTTTCTTCTTTCAAAGCGTATATTGAGCATGCAGGTTGAAGATTCAAATCATGGATTATGATTAAAGCCAATGATTTCGTAGTCAATATTTTTCCCTTCGAGATTTCTAGGCACAACCGATTTGTCCCTTTTTTAAAATAATAATGCGGTTGCCCCGGATCTGTCCAATTATAAATTCCACAGCGCAACAGTAATTTCAGTTTTTGCGTCATTTATTAGGGGACTGCTGTGTGTGACTATTTGCGCGCACATCTAACGCTTATTAAGCTCAATTTGATTCGTTTGTCACTCACCTTGAGCTTGAGATATATGTTCGCTCAATCCCATTCGCTATATGGCTGGTTTTTCGATTATCGTGTTCAGGTTTCCACACGCCAATAATTGAAATTTATTATAATTACTTCAAGACAAACATACCAATTTCACGTATTCAACGGCAAGCATTAAATGCGACAATTTTTCTCCTCTCTCTTCTATTTCATTCAACACCTCGGTTATCGTTGGCTAATTGTGAAACTTATGGGAAATAATTCGTTGCTGATTGATTTAATGCCCATTACCAGTTTTATTGAAAGTGCGACGTGGGTCTGAACTAAACCACTTTGATTTATTTATTTGTTATTGCCAAAGACGTTTTTCGTAGGTAGTGTAAAATCAACACCTGAGGACATATTTAAACATTTCAAAATTTATTCATCGGTTTTGTTTGTTTATTTCGAATCAGCTTTTATTTGCACTTGACGAGTAGAGAAAAAAAAGCGAAACGAATCATAAGAAGCAGTCGCTTTTAATTACTCGAAATTCTGATTGTCTCTTGCTATGTGAGAATTTGCAATGGTGCTGCTGTCGAAGAGAAATGGGAAATAATGAAGAGGAAAAAAGAAACAAATCGCAAATAACTCCACACAACAAATTTCTCATACGCGCAACGTACTGGGTTCACATCGCGATCGCATCGCGGCAACTGCACCTTTGATCCGGGCCAGTTGATTTTCTGCTCAATTCGTATATCACACATACGAAAATTAATTGCACACTCATCGGCATCAAAATCTGCCGACAATGGTACATAAAAATCGAAATGTTCTCGTTCAAAAATTGAATGAAATAAAAGGAGCAAAAATATTCGGAATATGCGCTTGATCAGGTTTGATGATTTTGCCGCTACCGTCGACGTTCAGATGCGTACGTACATTTTGCGGAACGAATACATCGATGCTGAATAAATGGGCTCTCCCTTGGAGAGCGAATAGACGGAAAGATAAAATGTATGAGGCTCTCCGTCAAACCAAATTCCGTATTGTAAATATATCGAGTAAAGAGCGCAGCACACATTTGAAACCAATGCACAAATGGATGGAGAAAAAAATGCACGTGATTCTGTTTTATTATTGTTGATAATGTGGTTGCGGTTCTGATAAATCAACACACGAATATGTATGCACATCTCTCAAAATGTTGAGGCGAAAGGTGAGTAAAGGCGATCGAAAACAAAAGGCTCCATCCAAACCATGATCAGTCGCTCATTTTTCATCGGCAAAAATGCTCATAAATGCATCAAACATAACAACCGAAACCTTCAACCAATTCGCCAAATTGAAATTGAAATTTGTTGCTTTGAGTGAAGCGAGCCGAGTGAGCAAGCGAGCGAGCGAGAGAATGAAGAACGGAGAGGCGACGATCACGCGGAGAAAAAAGTGCAAGAAAAATGTTTATTTTATTGTTATTTTGAATTGCAATGGTGGCTGCCGGGAGATAAGCGAGAGAGCGTGCGTAAGACGAGGTGAAGACAAAACTATATATACCAAATGTAACAAAAGGTGAGATGTGAGATTTGAACTGTGTGTACGCTGATCTTCTGTGTTTTTTTCGCCTCCTTTACTTTTTGTTTAGTTTGTTGCCTTGTGGTTTTCTGTTGCTTTTGCAATCGTTCCGAATTGCATTGGTCAGCCAGGCAGTGATGTTTGTGCGCGAGCGCGCTCGCGCCCATGCACAACAATATTTGGCCCATTAGCTTGATATGCTTTGTAATGTTGCCGATCATGTACAAAGCATAAAAAGCAACGCCGCGCGCACTCTCTCTCCCTCTTTCTCTCTTCCTTTCTGGCTCAATCTTGTTCAATCGCCCATTTTAAGTACTTACCAAATTACACTCACTTATGTGTGCGCTC